GCCCCATGTGAGCCAGGGTGTACTGGAACCCCACCCTAGTCTGCAGCCCATGACAGTCTAATTCTGCCTCTGCAGATTTGTCACCAAAAAGAACCGAAATGTCTGCAGCAACCCCAGCGACGACTGGGTCCAAGAGTACATCAAGGATCCCAGGCTACCTTTGCTGCCCTCCAGAAACTTGGGCAGGGTTAAAAGTATTAAAAGAAAAGACTAACCCCACCTCCTCAAGTCCCCATGAGAACCAGGCCTTAGTAGAAGCCCAAGCTTATGGAAGGAAGGAACAAAGCTACGAAGACAGAGCAGCTTTATGGTCTGAAATTAGCAAAACCACATTCAGAGAAACAGGCTGATGGTTGAAATAAAGAAAATGTATTTCCAATGTTTTCTCAGTCTTGGGAGGAAATGCCAGCCTTAGGAGAGGTGGGCAGAAATACATTCTCAGTATACAAGAAAACTTCTTTCCCATCCCTCTCCTGGCTCTGCTTGCAAGTCCTCACCCCACACCAATACACCAGCCATTCTGAATAATTAGCCAGGCTCCAGCCTGCCAGACTCTCCGGCCTCCTCGGTCTTGACCCATCCAGAACCACCCAGAACTCTTGACTTTTCCTGTCCACACTTACCCCTCTTCTGGATGTACTTTTTTCTTCCATTATTCTTTTCTTTTATAACACAACTTTCTGTTAGCAGGTTAGGGTGGGGATAACCACATTAATCATCTTTGTCCTTATTGCAGAGGGTTTGCTAGATCATGCTCACATCTGGTCTCCCCCAAGATGGCATAAATACAGAGCAGACCCGATCGAAAAAGAAGCAGCACAAATTTCTGCCTCCACAAAGCTCTAAGCTCTAAGCTTTGTGGAGCAAGGAAAGGGCACTAGACAAGGTTGGGGGTAAACTCTTGATCTAAAACTCAAGCATACAATAAATAAAATTTCCTTAATTGCCAACTTGATTCCTTACTTCCTGGCTTTTTTCTGTGAGGGTGAAAGAAGCTTAATTTCAGCTGGGCGCTGTGGCTCATGCCTGTAATCCTAGCACTCTGGGAGGCCGAGGCAGGTGACTTGCTTGAGCTCAGGAGTTCAAGTCCAGCCTGAGCAAGAGACAGATCCCATCTCTAAAAATAGCTGTGCATTGTGGCAGGCACCTGTAGTCCCAGCTACTTGGGAGGCTGAGGCAAGAGAATCGCTTGAGCCCAAGTGTTTGAGGTTGCTGTGAGCCATGATGCCATGGCACTCTACCCAGGGCAACAAAGTGAGACTCCGTCTCAAAAAAAAAGAAGCTTAATTTCAGTTTCTTCAGGGGCTTCTCCCCATTCCTTGAGAATTTGTCAGATTTACACAGCCCAAGACCAGACGTATATATTCAATCTCTCCTTCTATCTCCAGCTCAATAGCTGGCAGCTAACTCGGTTGCCTTGCATTCAACATTGTCCTAAAATGCTACAGTGAAGGCAAAACAAAAATCAGGCAATTGATGCCACGTAATTAGAAGAAACAGATAAATGTAGTGGGGTGATTACACTGAGCACTGTCCATTCAGAGAATGGGATTCTAGTAAACTGACCCACAACTGTTCCCAGAGGCCAGGCTGCTAGTACACAAGCCTGCCTCCCCATTCCTGCCCAAGCTAACCTACCCAGGATGGCCATCTGACCCAGCTGGCCAACCAGACTCTCGGAG